ATGTAGTCATTCCTCGAAGCTGACTCACATTATCTTTAATGGCAAAACACTCAAGTATTCCAAAGAGAACTTAAAGCCCTCCTGTATCTTATCTTAATTATCTTTGGAAACGTTCGCATGCTTCACGATTCGAATCGTTTCGGATAATCAATGAATATTATTGTGCGCCATAAATGGACCAAACGTATTAAACAAAATCGCGTGGTCAATATTTCATACTACAATGTTTGCTAACGATTTATCATATTATTTATCACATATACATTCGCATTTAATGCCAATTAAATCTTTATTAATTACGTAATTCTCTTGAAGCTCAAAGTATTAATACCATCATATATTTTGTTTACTAATTTAAATAATTACTTTAATATAATAAATTAATTATAATAAAACCGTTTGTGTTTTATATATATTTTTATCATCAAAGAAAATTCTATTCTTGTTTTACAAAATTCAAAGTTTCATGCAAATTAATTGAAAACCTATATTATAATATTATAAAAGTTTAATCGATACTTTTTAATTTCAATAATTATTAATAATGTATTTAAATGCTATTTTTGTATATTTCTTTAAATCAATGTAAATACATAATAAGTTTCATCCATATTCAGTGAAGACCAATTTTATTATATAATTATAGATTAATTGAATTAATTTGAAAAAGTATGCGTATTTTATAGGTTTATGTTATGAATATATTAGAGGAACGAGCAGTGAAGTTTAACAATGGCTTTATGCTATAACAATAAGCTTTATGCTGTTACATTACAGTTCAAAAATAATATTATATTTTAAACAGATTTTATTACATAATCAATATTATATAAATTTAAGAAGGTTTTCTTCGACATTTTCATTGACCTGTTTTTGGTGATACTGGGTGATTTAAGAATTGCTTAACTTTTAAAAGATTATTTAATTTGATTATTGTAATAATTGGGTTTATATGTAAAAGCTAATAGAGTAATGTAAATATTAGAGAATAATTTCATAATGTAGTGTCACGTATTAGTGTAATGAATAATGTGCGTGAACAAAGTTCCATTTACAAAGCAATATCCCATCACTTGAATACTAGTTTATGGGATACGAAATGTATGTAAATATATTATGGGGCTACAATGAATGCGATAATCGATCCGAATGCAAATATCGGAAATTATTCCAAAATCTGTTATTTCGATGAGTTTTGCGGATAATGTTGGTTTATCGCTCGTTTCAATTACCGATGGCAAACGCATCGTTAACCAGACCGATAGCAAAACGTTGGTAATTATTTTCTTCGAAACTTTCCCCTATACGTTATCAATCGGATCAAAGAGTTAGATATAACCTTAACTTTCTTAATTCTCCGCTGAATGGAAACAATAAAGCACTTATCTAGAGGGATGTTCCGAGTCCATTGTGCGCTCGGGAAAAGAAGTCACAGATCCAGATAATTGCTACAACTCTGGAAATTATTAATTAAGACGTGAGAGTATTAACTTGAAGGTTATTGTAGTCGCAAATTGTCCACTTAAAAAAGATTATATTGGATAAATTTAATTTGGTTAGTTTTCAGGTAATCACAATTTTCACACAACGGTAAAAAACAAAGCGATTTTGTTATAAACTACGTTAATATTTCCTTTCAATTGAAGCAGAATCATAGCTGGCAACGAAGAAAGCCAACGATATTCGATGGGCAAATAACGCTTGGAAAGCAATCAACGATTATTCAAACATTCATAATCATTTTTTTTTGTTTTGCGAGCGCTTCTGTGTACACGATAAAAACAAATACTTGCTAGTATTGATTTTTCGCAAATTCAACCATTCATTTTTAAATTACGTCGAGGCACGTTTCAATGGAGCCAGTTTTATACATCGCATTCTATACTCCAACTATGAATGTTTGCGTGGGTTGCTCCGAGAATCCATATATTTTACCATAAACGTCTGAATAATACCTACGTTGCTATCGGGGTTATCTTCGCAAAGGAAATACTTTCGACTCGTTTCATTTTATACCCTCCACTTTGTTCGGCTCCATTAAGCATCCGAGTTTTAAAATTACTCTAACTCTGCAATACTTTCACCAATTAAAATAATACAATAATATCAGAAATATGTACTGTAACATACAACTTATTAGATAATAACTTTAACTTCAATAAAAGCAATATCGTTTTCAGTAACCTGATGTGTTGAAAAGGTACAATGGAAGTAAACCAGACGTGCGGTAGTTTGTGTCCTTTAATCCGAAGCTCAATCTTGCGACATTCGATTTAGATAGATAATTCCGGAATTTAGAAGTTTGACGTTCAATTTACACTTGCTCGATTCCAGTTTAATGGAAAAAAAAACGAAAAATCAATGGAGGAAAAAGGCTGCGGTCGGAGTTTTGCTCGACTGGAATCGAATAAATCTATCGGAAATTATCAATTACCAAGACTTGCGATTTATTTTTCAATTTCAGATAAACGTCATCAAAATATTTTTTATATATATATTCCTTCTCTAATTAAGACATTTAATATTGTACTTAAAACGCAGAAATAATTATCAATATTTAAGATTGAAGAATTACAGAATGTACATCTATGAAACAAATTGATTATTAAATCTCGCGTTGATATTCATATCATTTTTACGTAGAATTGAAGCAAAACGGATAACATGTTTCTTTCTGTTGGATTTGCATGCTTTGAAGGCTCTATACACAAATTGTAACTGGAAACAATCTTCATAATTTGGTTATTGTTCAGTTCTGATTGACATCGTGAATATTTTTATATCATTTTTTTTCTAAAAAATAATCCTAATATACGTTAGGATTATTAAAGTTAAACTCAAATAACTATCGATTTTGTAGAACAAAGGATTGGAACAATTATATTATGAAACTAACAATCCAACACATAATATTATATACTTGTTATAAAGCCTCTTTATACAAATAATAACTCGAAACAGTCTTCTGCTTGTTGGAAACTAGTTCAGTAATGAAAAAATGGATATACTTCATATAACTTGGATGTTGTCAAAATGTACGTCAAAATTAGTATTTTTTTTACTAAATTTGCACCAAATTCTAATTCAAAAAATATTTATTTAGTTCAGAAACTAACAAAAAGTAATTTTATATTATTATGTTTTAAGTAGAAATAAGAACACAATTTCAATTTGAAATTTGTTTCTTATGCGACTTAGTATTTTAATGTTCGTATTAATGCGCTAATTTGAAACGTTCGGTAGTGTGATAAGCAGGAGAACCGTGGTAAGCTTTTAGCCCGTGAGCTGTGGTTAAGGCTATACGCTAAAGTTAGTCGGACGTGTATTTTGGCAGCAAACCGCGAACTTTGTGTGAGTTGTCGGGTATTTAGCGATTTAATTGGAGGTGGAGGAGGAAAAGCGGCAGTACGAGTTGGATGATGAGTAGGACGAGGAAAGTTGGCGCACGTATTCGGTTTGAATTTCGTGTGCGATTGAAATGTTTCGTTTACGTGATCTTGATTAGTATGCTTGTCAATTATGGTCAGGATAATGGCACGCGCCCACGGGATTTACGAACGGGACCGGAGGAGTCTTTGCACAGAGAGTGCCAAGCCCATTCAATTCCGAATGCTTACACGCACTTCGACACCCACACGGACAACACACACAAACGTATACATGCACATAAACGTATACACACACACACATACAATCATACAATTCACAATAAGTACACGCACAGACGAGCAGAACGCCGATGACTTAACCTGGACAATGCCCAATATTAGCATAGTCAAACAAAAGAATGGCTAATAAATGATTTACATGGCTAATGATCAATAGCTGCATACTGTCCAGGACGGTTAATTTCAAATAAATACTTTCATCTTCTTTATAAACACATAGTAATTTCAACAGAAAACAAGTAATTTCTAAGAAAAATTAACTACTTTTCACGTTAATAGTTGTGACAGAAAATCAATATCCTGTAGTTATTGAGCAATATTTGTAACTAATCCTTATTATACATTCTGAATAATTTATTATATATGAATATTAACTTAATATACTGCACATTATAAACATTGTAGTAATGTTATAACACCAACATAACTTTACTAATTAGAATATATTTGTAAATAATATGATGTTCATGTGACTCTAATAAAAGTAAGTAATAAATTTGATAACAAAAGTTTATATATAATAACGAAATATGTTTCAAATCAATACTTTTTATATATATTTAAAAAAAAGTTTAATTAAATATTGATGTGAAAGTGTGACCAAGTATTTACTTCAAGATAAGTGAATATTTTTTAACAATATAATGTTTCATACAATATATATATATAATTAACGAAAATTTTTCGATTTTAATGAAATAGGTAGACATTTTGTAATCTGCGAATAAAGTTTTCCTGCAAACATAAATTTTGTATATAACAGATACCAATCACAAAGTGGATATTTTTAATTGCTGTAATTAATGTTTATTTTAATAATTATATAATGTGAAAAATAATAATTTTGTCATTTATCTATAAGAAAATACAGAAAATCAACAAATTAAGTTTATTTTTCAAGAATAGAAACCATATATTGTATCGCGTATAACTAAGCAAATTAGATTATATAAATTGAATATCAATAATATTTATATATTTATAAATGTGTTTAGCTTCTTCTTAAGAAATTGTTATATTGTACTTTGTTCTGATAAATTAGGTCAAAAGTATTGAAATGTTATTATTAATTATCTGAACCTATATTTAGTTAGTGCAATGATATTTACCTATTTGGTAAATTGCGTTTCGCAGAATTAGTTATCATAGTTTGAACGCATTATTTTGTTAAATAGGAGCGATTAAATTTATTTGCTTTAAAATAAGTGCGACATTAATAGATTAAATATTTGGTTCGGAAAAGGTATTACTCATAATTGTTGCTATGGAATATTTTTAGCTTTTGCTCGCTGAAAAGGTGCGCTCTGAAATATATAGAATAGGTGAACTCACCATCTTCGTCGTGTTCTAGGCTACATTCTTTGCAAACAGCTGTCGCCGTGGGAATTTGTCCCCGTCGGGTGATTTGCTGAAGAGCCAGGAGCTGCTGCTCTCCAAGTTCCATGTCTTTATAGCCTTCTGGGGGACTGAGCGTGACGGCGTCCACAAATTCCAAAGGAGGAGCAAATTTTGGGCTCTGCGGTGTTTGCTCGTATCCAGAGTCGTATGGTCCTCCGCAATTGCAATTCTGTTCGCAGCATGTGAGCCTGACCATCTCGTGCTGATTGCACGTACAGACACCATCGTCCTCTTCCTCATCATAGTCGCAGTCCTCGCGAATTAGAATTATGTAATCGGCGTCGAAGAATTCATTCTTGTCCTCGTTGAAGACGACTCGGTTCGTTTGCAGCTTAGTACTTGGACCCGGCTCCTTCAGAAGAGATCGCAGCTTGTTGCGGTCCGGATTGTGCTGCTTCCGTTCACTATCCGTACCCATGTTGTTGTTGCTGCTACTGTTGCCGTTACTACAATTGTTATTGTTCATTTCAAGCTCATCGTAGTAAATGAAGTCACTGTAGTCAAGTTGCTGAGGAAAGCATTTCGGATCGAATTCGCAGATTAATAGGTTCTCATTGGCGTCTTTATCGACCACCTGTTTTTTAGCATCCACTATTCCGGCCTTAAGAAGTTTCAGTTCAAGATTCTTCAAGCGGCCCTCGGTGCGGCGGTTCAAGTTTTTGCTAGACAAGACTTCATCCCTTGCGGTGTCATCTTTCAGTTGGCGAATAGTCTGGATGAATTCTAGACTAAAATCTGATTGGGTGTAGGGCTGTGTGTGTGCTTCCAGCGATCGGATCGTGTCCAAGATGTCCGGTGGAGGTGCACTTTCACTGGTTTCACTTTCACTGTTGTTGTTGGGTCCTAGGTTTGGTGATATGCTCGATGTTATCTGCTGCTGCTGCTGGTGCGGTGCGGAGGCCGGGGCGTCCGAGACGCGACTGCACCCCGACGCCGTCGATGCGCAGACCGCGACGACGCCGACGCCGATCGATGTCTGTCCTCCTACTGAACACACGCGCGCATCGCAACCATCTTCAACGGGTCCACCAACATTCAACTCTTCTCCATCTTCATTCTCGTCTTCCTCCTCCTCCTCTTCTTGGGTTGCTATTGCCACCGTCGCCGTGGGCATGTGGATCGTCGTCATTCGCGTCTGCTGTTCCGACTGCTTCATGTAATTGCTGTTATGCGCTGCTAAAGCGACCGGCCTCTCGATGGGCGATGGAGAACGAGACTGGTAACCTTCGTGTCTATCCACTGTGTCACCGTTTGCTCTGGGACATGGGGCCACGTGTCTTGGCTTCTCTATAAACAAAAACATGAGTAGTAAGGAGGGGACCTACGATATGTATAACTGTACCTCCTACACCCATTGCCACTCCGCTGCATTCATCAATCACCAGACTACAACTTACTCACGTTTCTCTACTCAGGTCAATACTATCAATAAATCTAAACTGGCCCCGATTAATTGTTCCCAATTTCATTCAAACCTCTCTCCTACTCACTCACTTACTCCCCCAAAAAAGCATTTCATTCAATTTTTAATTACATTTTCATCCAATCACATAAAAAATAGCATCAATAAATTCATGTTAGCATCAATAAAACATTTTCAATTCCATTACATTTTTAATCACATTTCAATTATCAAAGTACTATAAAACACAATATATTTATTTAACTAAAAGATGTATTTTTAGTTTCATTTTGTCATCAAATTTTTGTATATTTATACAAATTAGCAACGTATTTAAAATATAAATAATGGAAATAATTTATTTATATCATTAAAATATAATAGTAAGTTAATTAACACTTACCATTGCGAATAAGTTAAATAAATAACATATAAATATTTTCTCAAAATTTCTTTAAGCCATTTAAGCCTCTTTTGGCGACAAAATTCAAAAGTATAATAAAAATAAAAAAGTTGCTAAAAAAGTATTGAAAAGAAACCTAAAGTTTCTTTGAAAGTTTATCATTGTATACTGCATCAAAAGATTATTTCTTATTATTACTTGTTATTAAAATGTATCTGAATACATTTTAATTGTTTTTAATAAATAGTTTCATTATAACAAACAATAATATTTATTATTTGACATAATAAATTAGAAAAAATAAATAAATAAGTGAATTTAAGATTTCCTGTTTATTTGCTTGAATTTTTATTTTAAATAAGTAATAAAAATAGTTTTTTTTTAAACAAAAATAAATTGCAGGTAACTATAAAAATATTACCGGATAATTGAAACAATAATTAAAAGAAGTCAAAGAAAAAAACGTGCCTTTGAAGGTAAGAAGCTTAAGATTATTATTTATATATTTATGCAAAAAAATATAATATGTCCCTCTTATTTAATATTGTTGCGATTTTTATACCGACGTAATCTTAAAATATAATTCTGAAAGCAAAAGTACAATGTTTGAATGACGCAAAAAGAACGTTCAATTAATATATACGCCCACTGTTTGTACCAGGTAAAAAGACATAAAAGAGAGCAAACATTTTCCATCAAATATCATATTTTATTTAATAAACTGAATTTATTCTCTTTTATGCCAACCTACGCGCAAACGTTTTGGAATGTAATTCGAGTACTTTGTTGGAATCAATATGATATTTTAGTAATATTATTAATAAATCGCACAATATAGTTTGAAATGAATTATTTCCGAATACCAGGAAAGCTAAACATAATTTGATTTTTATTTATTTTTTCGAAATGGTCTTTCATTTATATGCACGTCACTCCGGCTAATATATCATACATATTTTATAACAGTGAACATTTTTAGAAATGCTTTATTGTTTTCGTACTTGGAATTCTAATCAAAATCCTTATTAGATATTTTACGTTTCGTTCATTTATATTGACCATTACAATAATAATAAAAAAAATGCTTTTAAAGAATAGAATTGTAAGTTGGAATTGGAATACTGTGGAACCTCGCTAAACGAGCATTTCGCTTAACGAGTGACGATGAGAAGAGAAGTTCCGGATTACGCGCCTGCTACTTAGGTTCCACTGTACTAATAATATATACATAAAATAGTTAAAATTTAACTTAAAATTATGTTCCTTTTTAGGTATATATACGATAGTGATGTGATTACAAATTGGATGTGGATTTTCAAAGATGCTTTTGGATGTGGAATAAAGGAATTTCTAATTATGGAGATGTGGTGTTTGTTAATTTCGTATAGGTTCGAATCTTTTACCTGTTGTATCAGTTTGTGGCTGGTTGTGAGCCGCATGTTGATGAGGCGACCACATGGTTATCAGGTCTTCGGCATCCGGTGATCCGTTTCGATGGTGGTGGTAGTCGGCTTCTTGTTCTTCGTTGTCATCGTTCTCACGGCTTCCCGCATAATCCGCTAAAATTTCCTGTGCATTCTTCAGGCCGCAATCGGATACATCCCCATCATTGCGGAACGCCTCTGGCGCCTCGAGGATGATCACCAGATGATCCTCCTGCGGACACAGTGTTGATTTCATTTTGAAAATGGGCACGGGTATCTTGGATTTGCGGCCCGTCCTCTCATCGATCCGTCTGCCGTTCAACATTCTCGCCTAGCATAATACCACAGTCCACACAAAACATCTAAAGAGGGTTTCTCTGTTGATGTTTCGCTTCTATGATCTTCTCGTCTCGATGCAGATCCTACGCCACGATTTTTCACGCTGCTTCCTGCAAGACGCAAAGTAAAGAAAACCATTCGTTAGTCAAAGTTGGCTGTTTCATAATTACTTAAAAGGAAACGTCTTTCAACATTTCTACAGCATTCATTCCATTACAAAATAAAATACAAATCTATTAAATAATCACATAAAACAATACATCACAAATCCTATTCAATATTAAACTCATAAAATAACTGATTTTAAAGTTGTCATATAAAAATAATTATTTATTTCACTAGATAATATTAAAATCTGTAAATCAATCCATAGGTCAAGATAATTAAAGCACTTGAAATCCGCATAACATCATAAAAATGTCGGTAATAGAAGAACGTCGTATTCGTTCACTGAATTTTATATGAGAACATATTAAAATCAAAAGCATTCTCAATTTTTGTAATGGAGTTTCACTTCAAACCAGGTCGTAAAATTGTTTACGCAGAATTTCCCATCAACAAATCCGAAACACCATTAACGATATACATTTTTAAAACAAAAAATGTGAATAAATGCAGGAGAATATATTTAAAGACTGCACTATCCAAGAAATTGTTATAAATAATCCAAAAATTGTTAAAATATATAAAAAGTGTAATATTTAAAGCAAAACTATTTAATCAAAATGAATAGTTCATTCATTTTTCGTTGTTAAATGTGGAAGGAAAACAGCATTCGTTATAAGATTTAACGATAAACAAACAGAGAAACTCGTATACTCAAAACGGCGCAAACATGAATCGAATAAATTTTGGAGGATGTCAACAAAGGATTTAGCGTAATACATTGAAACTATAATGTTTACTAAATTTATGAGTCCGTAATAACACTCGATAGTTTATTTAGTAGTAATAAAATAAAAAAATTCTAGTTTTCAGATTTATTATTTTGCTTAAGATAATGCAATTATTTTTTTTTAAGGAAACTGATCTAAAATCGTGTTTAGCAGTAATCATGGAGAAGAAATCAATGAAAATTGATCAAGGATTTGTAAAGTCTTTATTTTCGGATAAATTACCGATGTTAACATTTGAGAACCGTTTGAAGTTTGCTGATACCTTGATTTACGTAGCCTTGACAACTGAGAAAGAGTGCCTGCCCGAAAAGATCTCTTGCGTTTTTGATGACATCATTTTGAAACAAAGCGAAGATTCAAAATTATTGGATTTTGATTACAAAATCGATGTTTTTGAAAATTGTAGTGTGCATAAAATACGAAAACGCCTATTTCATGAAGATATTGTGTCTTATAATTGCACGAGATTAAATAACGAAAGTGCAAATCGCACATTTCTAGACAGTACGACAGATGATTTTCTGGATGATCATATTCCTCTGACTTATCAAGTGATGCTGGAAGGCACGTTCGTCGCTAGTACTCCCAAGAAATGTATGCACCAATTTCAAAGAAGATGCAAGAAGCGAAGCCACGAAATCAAACTGTCTGAAGAGAGGCAATGTTCCGATTCCACGGATCTCGAAACAAGCGAGTACAATCATTTCGATGCTAATTCTTCCTCGTTGAATACAACTGTGAGTTCAAAGAAAGAAGACAACATGCAGAGTTTGGATATTAACGGTGAATCAGGAAGTAGCAGTGAGTGGTTGAGATTCATATACAAGACTTATACGCATTGGATATCCTCAGGTTCCGTTAACGAAAATAGCGCAATGTTTGAGAGTACTGTTAATGAAAGTGATTTACGCAGAAATTGTGAAAAACAATTATGAATTTATTTAATTATTGTTTTTGTTAATTATTTTTATTAATGAATTCTTATCGAATAAATTGATATTGTAATTAAAATTTTGTTTATTTGATTTTGAAATAAGAAATTCTATTATGCGTAAAAAGTAATCAATATATTTTATTTGGACCTAAGTGTTTTTTTTTTAAATATTCACAAAAAACTCTGTGAAAGTTTTGGAACTGCCGGGTTAAATAAATAAGTTATCAGTACGAAAGCTTTTTGCAGATCAAATATTAATTTTTTGTATCTTAAAAATATATATATATGACCCGAATGCATGCATCGTTCGAAGGAAAATCCTCGTGAATGTAATTCGATCCGTTCATTATTCATGCAGCTGAAACAAAAATCCTTATTTATTATCAAGTGCACACAGTTCGTAAATCCTCTATAACTCAAATCGAATGCATATATCCTTTAAAACTGAGCGAGTTTAAAGCAGTAAATTTCAATTCTTTAATTATTTGAAAGGCAAGGTCGATTACCTGAGCTGAAGGATTCCAGGTGTGTTATTAGTTTGCTTAAAGGTGTATGCAACTAAACTAACACAATGGAATAAGTAGCGATTATAATTAAGCGGATTACGATGCAATTTCTGAATTATTGAAGCGAAGCAAAAAAAAACAAAAAAAAAACGCAAACACGATTGATTCGATTTTGTTGCTTCTGGAACGTAAAATGGTTTTGCCGGATTCTCACCCTCTTTACGTCTCGAATGTGAGTGGTGTGTATTTGAGGTGATGTTTCTGAATTTGCTTTCGATTTCCGCAAAGATTGAATTACTCCGACAGCAGCACCCTTAGACACAAACTCACAAACACCACCACCGAAAAGAAGTAAAAAAAAGGCACAAACACAGGGACGAAGGAATGGCAAGAGCGATGGAAAATCAACGACGGAACGAAGAAAAAGGGGGACAAATCCACCTTAACGTTATATCGATTGTGGAGAAACACGGGTCTACGGACATGAAATTTTCATGGCGTAACGATCTACATTTTCCATGCCCGAAATAATAAAATACCACCGCTCACATCAACACTTTTTCAACCAAAAATTCAAATATGCTTCCAGTTTAGAAATGGTTATTTAGCAATTTTCAGTCAAATTGTGTCTATATAGAATAATATTATGCTTAGTCCCATTCTTTTTCCTTCTTTTCATTTTTTTTTCTGAGCAGAACAGAATGTTGAATTCGCACGATGCTTTCCTGAGCTATATAATACAGATGTATTTCTTTACTCCTTCCTTTTTTTTGTTCAGTTTGGTTCCGTCACTTCTTGTGTTCCTATTTCATTCCTTCTGTTGTATCCTTAGTTTTGTCACTTTATTTTCCCTCTTTTGGACTTCTTACACGACAACTTCTTAAAAACTTCGAAGCGCTCTCTCGTCGATGTTACATCGGTTTCGGATTTCTCTCACTGAAACATTTCGTGGCATCGTGGAGTTTAAGGCAAACTGGAATGTGCCACTGGCTGGTACAGAAAATTGATTTTGGAAATGCATTAAACAGGAATGCCCCATGTACAAATGCATTAACCGGGATGTTTTCCATATTATGTACTATTTACTTCCATCAATATTCCATACCATATTTAAATACATATCATGTACACATAAAGTTAATAAAAAAAAATAAATATCATTTGAAATATTAATCAGGATTTGATTATCAATAACCGGAATATATTAAAACATGAAATTACAGTTAAATCTGAAATTGTGTATTATATACGAATTACTCGTAACTGTTCACAAATTTATTGTAAAACGAAATTTGACATTTAATGTACACAATTTAAACTTTTAATAAAAACAAAAGACTGTTAAAAATAACTCTTCATGAATACGACAGATAAAATATGAACAAATTGTATAGATTTTAGATAAATTATATTATTATATGATTAATAGATTTAAAATATTTTGTTGTTGTATATTTTGAATAAAAGTAACAACGTAAAATGTTTATGGAAATGCATTTGTATCAACATTAAAAATGTTATTTAAATAGTTTGGAAAAATGTTTTGTGTGCAAGTTTATTGGAAATATGAAAAATGCGTATTTCATACGAGTATTTTCACGTTAAAAGCGTATTCAAAATAAGATCTGCTAAGATCGATAGGAAGCGATTCAACTTTTCAATAAAAGAGTATTCGTTCAGCGTATTGAAAAGATCGTAATATCTCTTTTCTTGCACACACAAAAAACTATATTGAAAAAACATCTTTTACTCACTATGTGGTAATTTTATGAGTAATTGGTATTGATTTTTGCTGTTAAAATCGATTTGTTCAAAAGAGAATTTAAATTACTTTTACTTACATAATATAAACTATCTAAAAACTGGTTATATATAACTTGGTAATTAATAATAGTTAAACTTATTTTATCATGTTGAAATCATTATGTCTTTAAGGGCAATTGCATTCTTCTTGTCTTAATTTACACAAAAATGAAACTATAAATGACAGTGTTTTCTTTAAGTAATTCATAATTAATGGATTTTATATCTTCATTGAAAACCTTATGTACTTATTATATAACACAGTGGAACCTCGCTTAACGAACAAAATGAATTGTAAAAAAAATGACTCGCTTAACGCATAACGAGTGATGAAAAGAGAAGTCCGGGATTTTGCGTCTGCTACATCATTTTTAAAACTTCTGTACACATATTATGTGTATTTTTGAATATTTTTCACTATACGAGTGAAAATGTGGAAATTTTGAAACGGATTAAACTTGTTAAGCGAGGTTACATTTTACTACTGTTTAATGCAAGTACAATGAGTGGGTAGAGATAGTGTATATATTCTTGTCAAGTATAAAAGTCCCGATTAATTATCGTATTTTTGCTGCAATTAATAATAATTGGAAATTATATAGTTATGTAGAAATCGTTTGTGTAGGAAAGTGAATTTAAATTAAGGACTTTGCGAATTGAGAAAGATCACGTCCTGGAAATGCGGTCTCGAAGGACAACCAAACGAGCAACCAACAAAAAAAAGTCCGGGCATTTGCACAAAACCGAAATTTAAACGAATCGCATTGATATTTTCGGGCAACATTAAAACCCAATTAACAATGGCAAAAATAAAACTAATTAAGTACTGTTTTTGCTGCGAAAAACGGGTAATTCGGAGCGGCGAGGTCTGCTTGCATTCAACGAATCTCCATTGGAATTGCATTAAACGGACGATAAATCAGGCGAGGAAAAGTAATTAAAATATTCAGATTTACAATGTTAATAAATATGAAACGGTGTACATTTTGCCGCTGGAATCTGCCGGCAAAGTGAGCCGGCGTTTACCGGCCCGAGAGGAAAACTTTAATACACATAAGTGCCTGTAGGGAAAATCAATAATGGCCAGATGTTACCCTCAAAAACAGACACTCTGTGTTGTATGCTCTGTGCAGAAGGCAGAAGTGCTTACAAGAGCACAGAGAACTACTATACGCGTGGAAAGCAAAACAAAAATATAAAGAGTAAATTAATTAATCGCCACTTGTTAATTAACTTCACTTGTACGCCCATTGTTCTATGATTATTGTGCACAATATCAAAGATATCGTTTAAAATTGTTTGCGCAAATAATGTTTATTACCATTACTTCTTCCACATAATCTAATCTGCATCTCCATGACAAATAATGTAAGAGAAACTGTAATCAAGATTTGTGTGAACGACGTGTCTGGATGGTAATATAAAAGTAGCTAAAACCCCTACCCGTCTAGACGTTTTTTTCTTATTCTTTATGTATATATTCGAGTTAAATTTATTTTACGTTCATTCCTAACATTCGCGACTCTTCTGTATTATCGTACTAAATTCATTAAACTCCATCCGCGCATTCTCTTTTAAAATAACAAGAATGTAATGAGTTTGTCCGTTTAAATTGGGTTTTGTCGTCAAATAGGTTAAAGCCAATTAAATTGGCCTCACTGGATGTACAAACGTATTTAAATAATAATGTAATTTAATTAGGATTTTCCGTGACGTCCGTACTGCATCTATAATAAATTAGTTAGAGCTGTCAACGAATCTATTAATTTAAATTTTTAATATGGCCATTACTGAAAAATCAAATGAAGATATTACATTTTTTAAGAATGTTAATTCTATATATAATGTTTGTTTTAAATCAACATTTAGAGTACATATTCTACATTATATCTCATAAGAGACATATAGTCATATAAACAACGCTATTTAACTCTTTGACATGCAATAACGTGTCCCATACGTCTAAAGTTTATTTTACAACTTTCAATAAATTATTCGACAAAAATAATAACTAGTAAAGTTTTAAATCTGTAGATGAGTTGGATGGAAGCACGAGGCGGAGGCAGAATTGGGAGTTCTGCTAGAGCCAGAAAATGTTATCAGTGAAATGCTGAAGAGTGCGGAGAGCTGGGATATTGTAGCGGCGTACACATCAGAGGAGCTACTAAGTAAAGAAGATGAAGAGCGGAGGCTACAGTGGGCCTACGAGGATAGTGGCAGTGGAGGCTAGCAATAACATGATCTAAGGAAAGTGCCAAACAGGCAAAGACAATCAGCATCGCAGAGTAGTACAGTGATACAGGTCCTGTATGCTAACGAAGAAGGGGAGAGGTTTTAGTGCGGTAAGAATCCCACAGTACCATGACTCTACCCGTGGTCCCTATGTAAGGTTACTCTACAAAAAAAGATATGCAACAGAGAAAGTAGTATTTAGTATTTATTTAATTATTTACTAATGAAACAATTAATGCTAAAGGAACTGTACAAAATGAAAGTACTTTTTTTTTGTTTCTTTACATAACTTATATTTTATTCGTATGTCAAATATTAAAATGAATAGCTTAAATTTTTCAATGACAGCTATGATTTGTCATTGTCAACTGTAATTACCAACTTATGTCACTATATTTGGTTACATAACTATAAATTATTGTTTTTAAATGTTACATTTTATCTGCGTATTAAATGCAACATACATACAAAGTTGTTACAAAACTTATACTGATTAATTATTTTTATTTTGATGAAACATTGTTGTTTATATTTAATTTGAGAAAAAAATCATATTAAAATATATTAGATTAAGAAATAATCGAATATATTTTGAGAATAGGAAGTGGATTGATTATTATTGAGAGCGTTATATAATTAGCAATGGCTCAATAAGTAAGTACATTTATGCAGGACGTTACTCCTAGTCTATTGTTAGTTGACTTTCAAAGATTGTGAATGATGAATGGAGTAATTTCAGTAATTCGTACGTAACAATGTTGACTGAAATAGGACTGTTAAGGAGATGAATATAGTGTCCAGCTGTTTGAGTAGAGTTAATACCGTTATTATTTCAGTTTATTGATTCGTAGTTATCGATGTTATGCATTGAATTGTTGCAAAACCACTACAACGTCTATTATGACTCCTTTCTTAGTATAATTTCAATTGAAGTGATTAATAGTTCAATAATCCAGAACTCTTTACTAAATAAAGTAATAATCGTTTTTATTAAATTTTAATATGTATTTTTTTACTAATATTAAACGTTTATTGTAATAGTAATATTTTTTAACAATTAATAATAATAATATTTATTGCAACAACCATAATACAAACTTAACAAAATAACATAAGAAAAATAAAACTAAATTGAATACATGCATTCAAAATAATTAAATTTTCTACTGAATATTCAATTCTAATATTAATGAAATTTAACTTGAACTTCAATTAAGCAAATTTTGGATGCTTATATTGAAATTAGTTAGCCACGTTTAATATGAGTTCCGCGTTAATAAAATTTAGATCGAAATTGCTTGTTCTATTGCGTCATGCAAAACTCCAACTCATGAGAGTTTACAAACAAACAAAAAAAAAAGACCTGGAATGTTCGCACATGCTCCATTAAATAAACTAATTTTAAATGCTTTATTAAGCAAGGAAATACATGTCTTTGAGCATATCCAAAACTTCCTGTTTTTTTCACTAATGTTACTGTTTAATTGAAACTGTTTAATTTCTTCATGTTAGTAAAATAAATATATAGACAATTTTAAATATTTCGTTTTCTTATATAAAATATTAAATAATTTATTTAATTTTTGTCTGTAAATAATAAATATTTTACTTTTTGAATTATTATTAAATTAAATCTAATAGTTGTAGTAACATAATTATTTACATAATTATTTTATACATGAGATAACAACGACCTTGTCCAAAACTTCCTATATAAAATAGAAATTGTAAGGAACTGTTGAAGAAACTGCTAATAATGATGTTGCAAAACTGATTATAAAATAGTTTTGCTTTCATTCACAACTTAAAAATATGATCAATGAAATTGCATTTTAGATTTTATTTGATTTGATTCACGATTTGTAGCATATAATAATAGTACGTATCAATTGAAATGTAAAATTAAACGATTATAGTTAATTGATATTGTGTTATGTTGTAACAATCGCTTATGCAATAATACCTTTATGTGTATTTCGCCAAAGCGAAACCCTTTTGTTAGAAGGAAATGTGGAATAATCCCTCGGGGAAAAAACATTACTCGTCCCGGAGAGGAGATTACATCACACTGAAACGCAATTTGCATGTGTCGCAAATCCTCGATGGATACGTGCATTTGCGTGGCCACGATCCAATTTGATTCAGTGTTATTTTTGGGTGGAGCGCGTTTTTTGACCTTTTTCAAGGCGCAACAAATCCGCCAAAAAAAAAATACGAATGTTATTCACCAAACAAAGTGATCCAAGGAAGTGTAAACTTGCGTGAATTTCTTGTCTGCAAGAGGCGCGGTACCGGCACAAGGTCAGCTTCCAGTGTATAAAACCTCCGCGGACGCCCAGCAGAAGTATCAATCGCAAACAACAAACAATCCAATCAACATGAACACTTTCGTAAGTAAAACTCAAATTATTTGTGATTTTTAAAACCCTTAACTTAATTATGGTCGTGCAGATCGTAGTATTCGCTGCTGCTTTGGCTTTGGCCAACGGTGGAGTCATTGCTCCAGTTGGAGTAGTAACTCAGACCATTGTCGCCCCAGTCGTTAAGAGCAGTTTGATCCAAGGGCCAAGCACCAGCACCCACATCGTTGGACCAGATGGTAGCCAAATCATCGCCAACGCCCCAGGAGCCACCATCCACACCTCCGAGCATGTAGGAGCAGTCAGTGAAGTCGTCGCTCCAATTGCCCCAGCTGTAGTCGCCAAGACCATCGTTGCTGCCCCAGCTTTGGTAGCTGCTGCTCCAACTTTCTACGCTGCTGCTCCAGCTCTCATCGCCTCTCCAGTCCTCCCCAACGGATACCCACTCTTGGCTCCAGGCTCCGGACTCGAAGGACAATACGTGCAAGACATCAACGAGAAACTCTACGATGACGGCTCTTACAAAGGTGAAATCTACGCTTAAACTCAACCGTTTCCATGTACTGATTCATTCTTGCGTATGATGGTTTTTGTAAATTTTAACTTAATTTTAAGGTTTATAGAAATCAATAAATAATTTTATTTGTACTCGACTCGCATTCATCGCAATTCCCCGTAATACCAATCCTCTGAGTTGCACGAACTCTCGTATCCAGTTTGCAACTAAAAGGAAGAAGAAAACGAAGCACGCGTAGGTCGTGGAGCCATATAACTTATATTATATTCTATATCATACACGGCGATTAATCGGGCGAGAACTTGACAATAAATATCTGCCCGTAAAACTACCTCACTACAGGCTAAACGTCCATAAAAATTTACTGCCAATTATTTAGACCCATATACTTTTATCAACTATTAAAAATAATATAATATTAAATTCATAAATATAGTTCGTAACCATGAAAATAATCTCAAACCAAATCAAGAAAAATTAATTAGTATTAACCAAACAACTATAATAATACACATACACTTTCAAATTCAAAAATCTGACTAACTTATTTTATACAATATACAATTTAAGCCAAGTCTAATTAAATCAATCGTCCCACGTGGTAGTGTATCAGATCCTGTTTAGTGTCTCTAAGACATTCCAATACGACATAAACAGCATTTTATTCATCTATGAATATTTAATTGTATTAATTGTATCACAACATCTCCAAGAAGAGCTCAATCTTCTTGAAGATTAAATAATTCAATGGAGAATTCGATCAATTTGGATATGAATCAATCATATTTATATATATAGATTTAATAATGGAATCTAAATACATTAATAATTATTATTATAATGTTGTTGATAAAATTATTTAAAAAAATAATAATAAAATGCGATAATTCACAACTGACATCATTCAACACTGGGACAAAGAAATTGGATCAAATATTAGAACAATTGTGTAATGATTTATACATAATTACTAGAACTTTATTAATTCATATATAAAATAATAAATAAATTGTAACCATTAATTAATATCTCCAGGGAAATATAGATTTTAAATATTATTATTTTTCCATCAGCTTATAAATCGGGAAATACATTTCATTCATCACATCTCTCCACTTGTAAATCACCATTGGCAGCGAACTGTTAAAACTTTCACAACAGATTTTAGTCAATATTTAAAATTCTGAAAAGGAAACTAAAATCTCATTACTCCCTGCACTAAAGTTCTTTATTAATGGACTGGATTATTTTGTTTCTATAAATAAATCAACCTTTGTACTAATTAAATTTATAACAGTTATAATTAATAGTTAATAAGCTAGTTTTATAATGCAATTATGTATTTAGCGTAGTAATTAGCGAGCGAAACAGACACCTGAGGTATTTTACTATGCTGCAAGATATTTGCATAAGAAACATTATTACATCGTTTATTAGACAATAAGTAACGTCTACTTTCGCACTATATTTTATAGTAATTAATTATTGTATTTTAATATAAATTTATAATAATTTATTTAATTATCTAATATATGAAAAATACATTTTGAGGATTTTTAAATAGTTACATTTAATTCTTACAAATTATATTAAGGTTATTTTATATAATAATTATGTTGTTGAATAACAGAACTATATTTATAACAATTGAATGAAAATAATCAAATTTTAGTAAATACTTGTTACAAATAATACATTGTGTACTGTGTATGTAAATACAAAATTTCCATATAATGTCTAAATTTGAATGCATTTGAATAAGATGTGGCTTAATTCAAGGCGCAATCATTGAATTTGCATTTTAATACTAAAGCAGATTGCTCAATCTGTAATGTGAAATTATTATGTTAAAAGCAAGCAAAAATAATTTAATTGTATTTTTCATTATTATACATATTTGTTGTAATATATGAAAACTATTTGTTGAAATTACATTTCAGACAAACAATTTTTTTTCTTAAAATTTATGACTTATCGACATCAATACTCTTTCTTGCAAACGTGTATACATCCTTGTAAACACGTAACTGGACATGTTATACGATCCACTTCAATCTTAATCTTTTATTCATATTTTTTGCTGTTTTCCCAACGCATACTTTATTCTGTTCCTTATTTATTCTGTTCCTATAAACCAGTGTTTTTCAAACTCTTGCATGAAATAATATTAAGAAATATTTTTTTTAATAGTGGCATAGTAACAAGATGTTAGGAAATTAGTGCTAGAAACAATAGTAAATAAAATATACGAAATACTGAAAATAGAAAAGTTTGTGTGCAAAATGTGGATAAAATTTAAAAATTAATTTTTAAACAAATATTAAAAAAAACCTTGAACTTGTTTGCTTTATATTGATTGAAGCAATTGTTGCAAAATGCCGGTATTAAATATGTTAAACGTTTGAAATTATGCGCATTTAATCATTAAACTGTAACGATTAGTTATAGGAAAATAAGATCATAAATTGATCTCATCTAATAATCAATACTGGTTCAAGCTGTATCTAAATGTCCTATTAACCAATGTACAGATTATATCATCTTGTTACATTGTGTTCGTAGCATTTTAAAAATCAGACGGAAGGAGATAAAGATAGAATCAGCGAAATAGAATGTGCAGAGCAGGAGGAGATTATGGCTTAGGTTAGTTGCGGCGATGACCTGATCGAGGTCAGCCAAAAACCTCAAGTCAATTTATTTTTTCTTCGTTTCGTATAGAAACGTTGTCGGCCGGATTGATTACATTTTCGGGGCCAATTCAATTTATTAGTCTCTTTCAACTTCTGTATTTTATTTACTTATTTTTTTCTCTTCTACTCTCACAACAGACAACATGGCACGTTATCCTTCAATGCCAGGAACACGCATTCTGCACTTAATGGATTTTCTTGTACATGTACAATCCCTGGGCTCGGCAAAAATATTATATTCACACCTCCTTCATCCCCCATTTCTTTAACCCCTAACAAAAGTGAAAATTAGGTCTTTCCATTTCTGAGCATTTTGTTGATTTATGAAAGACAAATTCTTTCGCGTTTGATTCGACAAAGCATGGTAGATTTATTGTGGATATATGATGATGGCTTCAGTTGATTTGAGGATAATTAAGTTAGATGAGCCGTTATAGAATCCACATTGTCCGTTCGATGCTTAATCAGTAAACTAATTAAAACTTCCGTGGATGATTTAGTTTCCCACTTCAAAAGAGCCTCGGCGACGAAAAGCGGGATTTTCATAAATCCGACAGATAACTATGAGCTTCGAACGTTGCCGGATATTTCAAATTAATAAACGATTTCCGTCATTTCCTCATATTCCCATTTCCTCTAATCTCTTAACCAAATAATTACAAATTTAGTATTTTTTACATACTTTATTGTTTGTATTGCTACAAGCAAGTTAATAAAATATACGTACTTTTTTATAAACAAATAAAATTTGAAGATGAATTTAATTACTTTAATATGGTCTAGATTCTAGATCAGTAGTTCGATTCCATCGGATATTATACATTAAAAAGTTTACGAAAGTTATCCAATATTTGTTACCAATATTATCCACTAACTATAGAAGATTTAAGTACAAAATAAAACACTTATATTATTAAAATAATACATGACTTTGATTTTTAAGATACGTTTTATGGTATTAAAATCTCCATGAATTAGAAAATCTCTAAAAAAACTCTTTTGTATCATAATTAATCAACTTGAACTATTTTGGTATATTTCAATTGGACATTAAGCATTATTGTCTTGAAATACCAATCCGATTTTGACATCTATAGAACTGAAACTGAAATATCTATTATTATGTTTCAGAAAGTGATATTAAGAATCAAATATAATTCTAGTAGTATATTAAATAGTTTAGAAGTTAAGATTGTATGCTTGTAAATGTTATATATTCTCCAGTCAATTAACATAAATGATTAAGGGACGCACGTTTGGCACATCTATAAAATAAACAGTGCCAGTTCGCATGTCCCGACCCTCGGCCATCCATTAATTTGGAAATTAATGTTGACCGACCTACAACCTGCTCGTACACATATAACAAATATCCAACAGTGTTTGTAATTAGCGTTACTTAATTCGATTTTGTTTCGCATTTTGTTGAGCAACAACAACAAAAAAAATATTACTGTCCTTTCTGTACGTAAATTTTGATTCAGAAATACGTTGGATATTAGCAAAGTTCCGGGAGAACAGCATTCGATAAACGAAGTAATTATTTAGGGGTGGATGTGCATGTTCTGCTGGGTTTCGGTCGACATTTATTTTGTTAATATCTCCGCTTTCGAAACTTTTCAATTGTTGCCGTTGCATTCAGTGCAGACAATATGCGCCCGATAAATTCACGTGGGACTTTCGACGAGTAAAAACGGCAACTGCGAAACTAATTTACCTCGTTTTAGCTTGAAATTTGATTTGGATTCTCGAGAATATTCACTGTTATTTAATGAACACGAACAGTTGGAATTTAATATACTTTCATTACTCATTAATTTCAAACATATTAGAAAATACTTCACTTTTGTATTAAAGTGAAATTATGTAATAATAATTTAAAACAAAATATACAAAATGACAAAAATTATAAAATCTACAGTAACCTAAAAAAATATCTAAACAATAAATTAAATACCCTTAAATTATTGACAATTTAGTTGTAATAACGTAGCATAAATACATTGTATACAATTTTGTATATCATCTTGTAAATCATTTTTATCATTCTGTAAGTACACATTACAGACATTATTCATATTTAATGTCTGCAGAGGAACTTTATGTATGACGGCAACTGCAAATCCTAATATTACATTTAAAATACATCACAAACATAATAGCATCTGCTCAGCGAAAGCAGATGCTATAAAGATACATTTTTTCTATACATATCATATAATTATTATATCTATATACTCCATATATGGAATTTTAGCATATTAAATTTAAATATCACATACTTTTTTCTTATGTTATATGTATTTTTCTATAATTCATCATCAATATATCCTTTTTGATGTATAAATAAAAAAAAATATAAAATTATATTTAAATTATAAGTACAGGAAATTAATTACAGTTTTTTAATGATGTGATTTTAATTAATACCTGTAAATTGT